GTGCCATTAATATTTTCAAAAATTCGGTTCAACACTCTCGAAACAAACATATTAATATACGACATCATTTTATTTGAGAGCTTGTAGAGACACGTGTTGTAACCTTTGAGCACATCTCTACAGAGAACCAGTTAGCCAACCTATTTACCAAACCATTAGATGGTCTGAGATTTGAATCTCTTAGGATGGCTATTGGTGTTTGTGTGCCTCATTGATTAGGTATTTTTGGTGCATACTCGTTCTTTACCATCGTGTGACATTGATTTATGCATGCATTCTATTTGTTTTTGTTTCTATTTCTATTTTTGTGTGTTTTGACATCTTTTGTGTGTTACTAGATTCTAATGTTTGAGCGACGGGTCGATGTTCAAAAACTTCTTTTGCTTCAAACACTTGGTTTTTCAATCCATTTTCATCCCAAACACTTTTCCCTATATATATCACACCCTATGAACGTCCAAAAGTGTGTTGAATTAGATTTATTCCATGTAGATCAATTCTTTGATGATCCAAAACATTCATTGATTCCATGATTCAACAACCACATATTACTTTATTCATAAATTCTTTCAAATCATATTTTGTCGATCAAGCCATATTGTTTCGTATTAAACTACATAACAAAACACACAAGATCTTTTGATCAAATACCAAACCACCTAATCCAACGAAGATAAATCGATACCAGGGATCTGGAGTTGTTGCAGAATCACAAGTTTATGAGGACTAATGTGAGATACCAGGAGTTGGGATCGACGTCAGGAGCACGCAATTTAGAAGGTTTAAGATATAAACTGAGAGTCGAGATTTATTTTGAAGGAGTGCGCCTCCAGTAGGATTAAGGGAGACTGCAGGAATTGAGCTAAGAAGTTTTACGGGGTAGATGGGTCTGAACCGTACTGCAAGTTATTTCGATTTATAGTGGATTACTGACAAGTTATTTCGATTTATAGTGAATTATTGACCGGTAAAGTGCCTGGAGTTTTTACCCGTTGGGTTTTTTTCGTGATCATCTTTGGTATCTTTATTGCTTTAATTATTGACCGTGGTATTTAAACTTAGAACAAGTTGACTTATTTGATCCAATCATCTAGAAATAATTAAAAAATGACTTGTTGCTTTTAATTATATAATTTCAAACGTTAGGTCTAAATAATTTAAAACTTTCAAAGATGATTAATTCCGGAGTACATTTTTCTTTTTCTATTAGGGTCCGTTTGATTGTAAGGGTGGAAAATGAGTGAAAAGAAAATGTTTTATAGGGAAAAGATTTTTTTAAAAAATGTTTTACTAGAAATTGTAATTAAGTGTGTTGATTGGTATAATTTTTCACCTGAAAAATTTTTAAAAGTTTGGATCTTTTTGTTCACGTTTGGCTTTATTTTATATGGAAATTGTCCATTAAAAATGATTTTTTTTACAATTGATTATAAAATTTGTTAACATTGACAAAAAGTAAAAAAAATTACTCGAAAACTATTTTTTCATCA